ATCATAAATACAAGCAAAACTGTTGCATCCCTATGGAAACTTAATGCTGATTTGCTGATTTTTAGTAATGCTGTGTTATAATTAGAGATCCACTGTGTTAACCAAATTTTTAGACCATAGCAGGACATGTCTGATTAGTAAAGGTGACATGTTCAGTATTGCACAGGCATAACATATAGAAAGGCAAAGCATATCGTTTTTAGGCCATAATGTGGGATATTAAATTAAATCCTATTCTCCATTCATAAGGTTTAATGACCATATTTTGTTCAACACTAGAAAACAGGAAACTGTCCAGTTCAGAATCTGAAGAAGAAGAAGCAAATGAAGTCTTTAAACCACCACCTCAGCCACCAAGGAAGCTGCTCTCTGCCTTTACACAAAGAAATGATACAAGGCCTTCTCCTGTAACGACTCCAGTTCGACCCCCACTGCAGACATCAAGGGATACACCTCTCATTGAGACATCAAATGCGAGGCATGATGGTTTGTTTGTTTGTTGAGTTCTTGCAGTACTTGAACATATAAAAGACACACTGAATGTACATGGAAGAATGCCACAGACTCTTCTTAGGCAGCAGGACAAAACATACTTTGCTCCCTCACTACCAGATGGTGCCAGATGTCCAAGCTGTTATTAGAATTAGAGAATCAGGAGTTTCTCAGTAGTGTGGTGAGTAATACACTCACTTTTAATTAAAACGTAAAAAATTGTGTGCTTGTAAACACGCGTGTGCAACACACATATTTGTTATCACAAAGATGGCTTTAAACATTCTTTAACAAATTCCTGATTAAATGTTCTCCAAAATCCTCTAATTCATTAAGTGGTGAAAGTAGCAGAATTCACTAATTAATAAAGTGTTGATAGAAATGTATGTGAATTAACAATTAGAGTGAGAGCTATTTAATTAAAACAAAGTTGATTTAATGAAATATTAACCATGTTTTATTTTTCATCACTAAGGTGTCTTTTGTATGAGGATGTTAAATATTCTTTGATAAAAGAAAGGTGATGAAAATGCGTGTAAACTGACAAATAAAGTTAACATTAATTTATTAAGTTTAGTTTTTTTAAATCAAGTAACAGTTAATTTTATCAAGTCATATAATTATCATAATATTTTCAATTCCCATGCATTTTTATGGACTCTCTTTAATTTGGTTTTATTTTTTGCAATCCCATCATTAGTTAATTTTTGTTACTTTCATCCTAATATTATTCAGGTCTGTGTCCTGGGTGAAATAGGTGGCCGAACAGTCGATGAAGCAACACAGAGAATGATGGCTTTTCTCATGGCTGATGAACTGGCTTGTCAGTACAGTTTTGTTGGTCAACATGGGAAGAGGCAGTTCCAAGGGCTTCATCTGTTTGAAGTGTTTTATGGTAAGAGCTACTGTTATATGGGAAGTTAGTCAGTTAGTCATAGAGAACCCCTGGTCTGCACATTTTGTGTGTTCTTGCTCTAACATACCCAACTCAGGGAGTCGCATATTAATGAGCAGATTTGTTGGATCAGCTGTGTTGACCACAGGGAAAATCTAAAATGTGAAGGGCTGGGAGCCCCCAGAACTAGGATAAAGAAGCCCTAGTACATTCATAGTTTTTTTAACAGTTTGGTTAGCCCCACACTTAACAGGATTTCTTCTTTTTTTAGTAGCCTAACTAAGTACTGAACATTATTTTGTTTGATCTGTATAATAAAATTATTTCTGGTCAGTAGCCTTTTACATTGTAATTCAAAAAATTTTTGTAAATAATAATTTCTGTTTAAATGTGTGAAATGCTTTAATTTCAGGTTGATAAACCTTTTCACCACCTGCCTCTGTTTTGTCTGGTTTTTCATCTCTCTCAACAAGGTGCCCCTAAGAGGAGCGCATTAACACAGAACATAAACCGAAAGGATGCAGAAAAGGCAGTTTCTAAGTGGTCCAGTGGTACTTGTGATCGTGGAGGTAATCGTGCCATCAGAGCAGAGCGTTGTGTTCACAGAAATTCTGAAAACTCTGACAATCCTTGAAAAAGATCACATGGGCAGCATGTAGAATGGTCTGGGAAGTAATACTTTGAGAATTTTGTTTGTGGTTTGAGAAGAGAATCTGTCATATTGAATGATACGTTTTAAGATCTGTTTGAGTCTGTCAAGTAACGGTTTCTGGGAAGTAATACATTGAGGATTTTAGACTTTTAATGATTTCTGATTACTTGTTAAATGATAAATACTGCTGCATACATTTACAAGTGGATGTGAAATACAAAAATGGTTTAAAATTTTTTTAAACATAAAGGGTAAGTTTGTGACTGCAGATCAGATAGAAATTAAAGTTCAGAGTTTTTTTTTTAATTCATATCTTTTTTTTTTTTTCAATAGCTAAAAAACAAATGATTTAAACAGCAGTTAAAAAGCAGCTAAATGGCTTGGTCATAAAGTACTATTGTGTTTGACAGTATAATGAGAATACTTGAAAAGCTATGTTTTTAAATGTCTTTGGTTTGACTGCTTACAATCTGTGAAGATATAGTTAATGGGATATAACATGTAGAATGGCCTGTTTTTTCATTTTAAATGTTACATCTTTAAGTCTGTTGTTTTAGGGACTTTTTAATACTTGTTATGCAAGACTGGTTACTTGTTATGGATGGAATTTATAAAATGTTGTTAATGTTTTAAATTTAAAGTTAAGTTTATGACTTCATTTGCTGTTGAAGGAGAGTACAAACATGTATACATGTCCTTTTCCTCTTTAGCTGTAAAACAAGTAATTAAACAGTGGTTAAAGGTGAAAAAAGCAACCTGAATGATTTTGTTTTTAAATAAGTGTCATGTGACTGAGAGTTTGCTCACCAAAGTTGAAAATGAAATGTATGTATTACTTGTGAAATGAAAAGTTTATTGGATTATTTACAAGGTTATTTAAACATTACTTTTTTAAAGAAATATTCTCTTGATCAGTATCTAGCTATGTTTATAATAAATACATTCAAAGTAAAATGTTTTTTTTTTGTTTTATATACTATGTTTGATATATTAATTAAACATTATTGTTCAAATTCTCAATATCAATTGATTTTATTGCATTCCTTGCTTTTTCAATAGGGCTGCATTCTGAAAATGCATGGTTATTGCATCATTGGACTCAATTACCACCAGTTCGGTTTGCCTAGGATTGTCTTACTCTATTCCCATAATAAACCTATATAAAATCCAACTTCCTTCAAAAGGCATATAGACCCAACATTCTGTCCACTTTGAGTGCTACTCAAAGACCTCTCATGGAAACTGAGGACAAAATAAGATAGGTCTCAAATGGACCCTCTCATGGTAGCCCATTATATAGTGCACATAAGGGGCCCAGGTATCCTCAGCTCAGTTTGCCAGCAAAGTTCCTGGTCTGTGCCCATACTCAACACCTACTTGGGCTCCAAATGGAGGGCCCATATAAGCCCAACATACACTACCCATTATGGTCCCACACTGTACCCATTTTATACCCATCTTTAATCTATATGGCCTGCTCTTCAAGGGGCCCACGTGGAAACTGAGGACAAAATGAGATGGGTCCAAAATGGGCTACCATGATGGGGCCCATTACGTAACGCACATAAGGGGCCCAGGTATCCACAGCCCAGTTTGCCAGTGAAGGTCCCAGTCTGCGCCCATGTTGTACCCATGTAAAACCCACTTGGGCTATAAACTAAAGGCCCATATAAGCCCAACATACACTACCCATTATGGTTCTACATTGTACCCATCTTATACCCATCTTTAGCCCACATGGACTGCTGCTCACGGGGCCCACGTGGAGACTGAGGACAAAATGAATTGGGTCCAAAATGGGTAACTTTGTTGGGGCCCATCATTTTGCCCATCCTAAACCCACATGGGGCCCATATAGATATGCTGGATGGGAGGGTTATACTTCAAGAAAGTAGATCAGTTAAATTATGGGCAACATTTTTAGACAGGTAAAAAGCCCCATCCAAGACATATCCTACTCCCAAATACAGCAAAGATAAGCTCCAACATGGACGTAGTATGTGGATGAAATAACTAGTTATCATAATCAGTAATGCATTACAATTATCATTTGTATTGCATTACTGATTCAATTATGGCAGAACAAAGGACGCTCAACAAGCTGTTAGCCATCTTGGACAACACCTCACACCCCCTGCATGCTACACTGGATAAACAGAGAAGCACATTCAGTGGCCATCTGTTACAGCTGCACTGTGTTAAAGAGCGCTGTGTGAGGTCTTTCTTACCCACTGCTATAAGACTCTACAACCAGTCTCCTTAGTACAGAGACGGTACTGATATCCTGCTGCCTGAACTGTGCTGAACCACATCACTGTATCTCCTCTCCTGTTAATACACACTGTACAATCTATCTATCTATCTATCTATCTATCTATCTATCTATCTATCTAACAGGCTGGAATTATAGGGAACATTTATACACAGCTGTATTAGGCCTCTAAATGTTGTCCATAATTTAACACTGATCTGCTTAGATCCAAAGTAATTGCTAGTGCATCATAGGTTTATATGATTATATATTTCATTCACATATTTAAAAATAATATTAAAAATAAAGATATTCCCCTTTAAAACTGCATTGACAACAACAGCTAGAGTAATATGTTTGTCCCAATCAATAAAGCAATATTTATTATAAATGTAGTAATTTATAAGCTATCGTGCTATTTATGTATGTTTGTATTTATGTATGTATGTATGTATGTATGTAAGTATGAATGTAATTATTTATTGAATTATTTATTTCGCGTGTTACACCATGCCGAGATAAACACGCCATAATTGAGATTTCGTGAAATACATTATTTGTAAATGGAGTAAACAGTAAACAATCGTACTGATGAAGACTTTTTGTACTGTTCGTCGCCGATTGGGTGAATACAGGCGGACGTACAACCTTTTTGAACCTTTTCGCTTGCCGTAGTCCCAGTGTAATTTGGGGTTGGTTTCTGTTCAGTGAATGTGTGCAAACAGAGACCTGATTTGTCAGCGCGGACGTGTAAAAACAGGGTGCGGTTTACTTTCACAGCTAAACTGCGCTGCAGACGGAGTAAGGTCAGAGTCATATGGTTGCACTTCCCAGCAGTCACAGAGAAAGGCAACAACAGGTAAATTAAAATCTTCGCTTTTAATAACTGTGGGATCTGCTGATGTAACTTTACATCCCTTACGTGAAGCTTTTGTTCCTCAATATATGCCTTTTTATTTAGTCAAGCTTTTCGGTGGATTTTTCGTGTTTTGATTTTGATAACGTATTCTGTATGAGCCTGTTGTAAGAACTAAGTCTTGTTGTAATGCTGCGTTCAGCGTTCACGTTTGCGGTAGACGGACGACGACGAACCGGATGTTCCATTGCTTTTAATGGAACCACAACGGAATTTTTTTCTCAGCTAATGCGGTCGACCGCAAGAACCGGATGTTGATTTTTTTTTGGAGAAATGGACGCCAAACGTATCATGACATAAACAGATATCAGATTATCATACAATATGTATATAAAATAGGAAATGTCTTCTGTAGCATCTTCAAGTAGGTCTAACTGGCAGTCAAATTCCTTACATTTGTAGTCTTAGTGAATTATAAATAGAGTGAATATCAGAGTCTGAAACCATGTACATATGAGATGTGAATTCGTTTTACTGTAGCATTTTAAATTAATTCATAGTCAAAATTGTCCAGTCATTTGTTTGTATGTGTGTGTGTGTGTGTGTGTGTGTGTGTGTGTGTGTGTGTGTGTGTGTATAGATATATATGTATGTGTGTGTGTGTGTGTGTATATATATATATATATATATATATATATATATATATATATATATATATATATATATATATATATATATATATACATACATACATACATACATACATACATACATACATATATTAACGCAATTAACGCAGCTGGGTGTTTACTTCCTGTGGCGGCTGACCTATGACGAGGTGTACCGCCAAACCGAACCATCCTGGCAAAAAGATGGATAAGGACAAGGATGGCGTTTTAGGCCTAAAGTTTTACTTTAAAAATTTGCCTGATGGAACTTTGGAGAAAACGAAAGTAATCTGCACCATTTGCAAAGCCGAATTTAATGACCACAGAAGTAATTCGTCTTTGACACACCACCTCAAAGCAAAACACCCTACCGAAACTACCTCTTCGGGGCCTCGTCAGTTAACATTACAGGAGTGTGGTACTCATGGACGAATAACGAAACCTGTGAGTGAGAAGGTAACTACTGCTTTGGTTAACTGGATAGCTAAAAACTGCCGCCCGATTAACATAGTAGAAGGTGATGGACTGAGGGAAATCAATCGAATTGCATCAGCAGACACCTCTTATAATCTGCCCTCGAGAGGAACCATCGTTTCAAGAATGCACACTTTGTATGCGAAAGCGAGAGGTCACGAAGGATGAACATGCTTGAGCAAGCAAAGTGTGTCGCTCTCACAGGGGACCACTGGACTTCGGTGAGCAATGACAACTACTTGGGCGTCGCAGAAGAATGGAACATCACGGAAAAGTTAACTACACTTGGCACTCACAGTGCTCGTAATATGGTTGCATTTATATTTTATATATTTTTTTGAAATATTTTACATTTAAAAAAAGCCCTAATATACAAATATATATGTGTGTGTGTGCGCATATATATATATATATATATATATATATATATATATATATATTGTGTGTGTGTGTGTGTGTGTGCGTGTGTGTGTGTGCGTGTCGCTGCTGTCGGAACAAAACCTTGTATCTCCATTCTTGTAATTTTTCAGTTTTTGACATAATTTGAAAATGCCAGTTGCTCTTTACATTGTCTGTTAATTTCATGACGAATGGACCAAACAAAATGGCCCAAAATGACTTAGAAAAAAGTCTCGTTCCATTGACTTCCATCAAAAGTTTCCTTCTGGAAAGATATTATTTCTGTTATCACGTTTGTCAATATGATGTAATAACAAGTAAAACTGATGAAAGTGTCATTAAATGCAAGGGTGCCAAAAACTGGGACACGTGTATTCGAGAGAAAAAATGAATAAATACAAAAGATTTGAGAGTTTCATGGACTATTTGCTCTTTTTTTTTTACCAAAGGTGTTGATGGTTCTGAAGGACAGTGGAAAAACAGATTTATAATGTGAAATAAGAGCAAGATTAGATTAAAATATTTGTATTTGTATACCAGAAATGCGGTAAAATGTTTTTGAAAAAATAAAAAAAACAAATAAATTTTCAAATGAAAATCAAAGCACTAGAATTATGAGTAGTTCATCAAACACACACAGTTTACTAGTTGCTCCCTGTTTGTTTGTGGAGATATTAGCAAATTTGAAATCTTTTAACAACTTTAACTTTGCAACAGGTACTAATGTGCATTTTAAGTAAGCAGTGTTCCAACAATTTCATCTTACCTAAACTAAAGAAAGGGAAAAATTAAATCTTTGTTTTATATCAAGAAAAATATAAATTATTATTATTGCATTTATCAGTCTTAAATTACTGAGATTGTGAAGCAATAATGTAAAAGATGGACATTACAATTTTTAAGCATACTATGTTTTTAACTAACAACTCAGGAAATCTCAACTGCGCTTACAGGCAGTAACTATAAGACATTTTGTAGTAAAGATAACAAACATGAAATATCCAGTCACACTGTTTCATCAGCACCATTCATCTGGATACAATTTCACTTTTTATTTGAACAAATAAACATTTTAGTTGACAATTTATTCATCCATTATACATTAGTAAGTAAGTAGAGCGTCACCATTATAAAATGGCACATCTTAATCATGTGTCAATAACATTGAACAAGGTGAGAATTTTGACTGTTCTATAGCATTTTTAAGTAATTAGCAATCACTTCATATATTGTAGGTGTATGATAAGAAAGAGACTCTTAATTGATACCTGTTGGTTTTACGGACTACTTATTAGAAATTACCATTTACAGTGTGTTCAATTTTACTTCTTATTAAAATATAATGACAAATTTTGGTTGCCAGTTATTTAAATAAAATCCTACAGTAAAATCACTTCATAATTCATATGTACATAGTATAATAATCACTGAATTGATATGTTTGTTTTATGATAGATAGATAGATAGACAGATACTTTATTGATCCCGAAGGAAATTTAGCAGCCAGTAGCAGTCACACAACACAGGACAGTAATAGAGCAGTAAAATAGCTTTTAGCCCAACTGGACAACACAGCTTTTGTTTTTTTGCCTTTTTAAGCCTTGTTTTAACTGCCAATTTTTGTATCGGTCTGAGCCTCTGCACTACCCCAAACTACGGACTATGGACTGCTTGTTTTATTTAATTTAAATCTACGAGTTGTTTTTTGGGCCATGCCTCCCCTCAGCTCTCCAGCTGGATGTGATGGCTGTGCACGGCTGAGCCAGAAGATTAGTGAACTCGAAGGAAGAATCTCTGTGCTCTACCAGATCAAAGACGATGAGGATCTCGTCGACTCCTTGCTAGCTACAACGCAGACGATCAGCACCGGGCCAGACGGCATACCTCAGACTCAAGTATTTCTGTAGTTTTGGGTAGAAGACCCAGGACCAGCTCTCCATCAAAAAGAAGTAACAAAGAAGTGGATGGTTTTATTAATCCAGACAATCAGATTTTTATTGATCCAACTCCATTTACTTTACACTCACGAAAAAACTCTGTAGTAAATGCTATAACAGATCTTGAGAGTTTTAAAAACAGAAAAGGTTTAGGCATAATTCATCTTAACATTAGAAGCCTACTCCAGAAGGATAAAATGGATCAACTTAAAGTCCTGATTGCACAGTCTAATCCAGATATTTTAATACTAACAGAGACCTGGCTTAGACAATCTATAAGTGATGAAGACGTGGCTTTAAATGATTTTAATCTTTATAGAATAGACAGAGAATCAAGAGGAGGCGGAGTAGCTACTTATGTAAGAGTAACTATACAAGCCACCTTATTAACTGCAGTCTACAAAGAAAAATACTTAGAGTTCCTAGCTCTGAAAGTGTCCCTTGGGAAAAATAACTCTTTTATTTTAGCTGGGATATACAGGTCTTGATGCTCTTGATGAAATAGCCACTCTTTTATCACAATATACCGCTTCTGAAATGCTGGTCCTCAGGGATTTTAATCTTAACTGGCTTTCTAATGTATCTGATTACTTAAAGGAAATGTGGAAATCTCACCCTCACACCATTAGTCATGGAATCAACACGCCCAAATCTGAAGGATCCCACCAAATCTACCCTACTAGACTTAATTCTATCCAATAAAATGGACAAAATTACTGCCTCTGCAGTCTTTGACCTTGGTATTAGTGACCACTGCCCCATTGGATGCATTAGAAACCGTTACAAGAACAAAACAGGCTCCCGGATGGTGGTTAGAAGAAATTTTAGACATTTTAATGAACAAGCTTTTCTATCTGATTTAGCAATGACTGAAATCCACCTTACACTAAAAATTCCAGATGTTGACTTGGCACTAAACCACTTTAGCAAATCATTTCTAATGGTGGTAAACAAACATGCCCCCCACAAAAAGCAAAGAATAAGAGCCAGATCAAGTCCCTGGTTCACTAGTGAAGTTTCCTCATAGCCTCATAGTTTAAAGCCAGAAATAAAGCTTGGTCCACTGCTAGACGCACGGGAGAGAGAGGCCACTGGCTCAACACAACTGAGAAATCGATGTACCTCTGCAGTTAGAAAGGCCAAATCAGATTGTTATCTGATTACCAGCTCTACAAACACTCAAAACTTTTGAAAAACTGAAAAACCCCTTAAAAACAATTCCTCTACCCTTCCAACCAACATTATAGGAGAATTATTAGTCACACTGGTTTTAAACAATCTCTTTATGGCCATAGACAGGAAGAAGCATTGTGCTGCCATTTTTTTATTGATTTATCAAAAGCATTTGCTACAGTTGATCACACTCTTCTTTTAAACTGGTTTTAAATGCTTTTTTAATCTTATTTTTATCTTATTTTCATTATTTTATTATTTATTTGTTAGTTTATTATTATTCTTATTTTAATTATAATTATTTTTTTATTTGTCATTTTAATACATTTATTTTTGATCTTATTCTCCTTTTATTTTGATTTGATTTTATTAACTTTTACATTTTTGCTATGTTTTAATTACTGTTGTATTTTTATGTATTTTTTTTTTTTGATTAATGTTTCACTTTTTTATACTTACCTGATTTTGAGTCTTTATTTATTAAATTTACTTTTATTATTTGATGTGTTCTTACACATTATCAATGCCTTGCTCTGAATTAACTCGGCAGCATTGTAAATGAGGGGCATCCTCAATGTTCTCCAAGATTAAATAAAAGTTGATTGATTGATTGAATAGTAATAAGGGTGAAAACAATATAACAGGAAGAATAAATATTAAAAATCCTATCTACAGGCATATATACAAATAGAAAAATACAAAAATCTGTAATAAAATCTATAACCTGAGATGAAAAAGGCAGTGCAATAATGACTGTACAAGGAGGCTCAGGTAAAGGCATATAATGACAATACTGAATATGTGCATATATTGGTACCGAAATAAAGTGTCTAGGTGTGGAGTGTCCAGATGTGCAAGATGCGCATTAGGTGTCCATAAGTTCAGATGGATAAAATAAACCTATGATTTAACATGAGATTCAGATTCAGTCCTCATCTCTCCTCTTCCCTCTTCTCTCTTCTCTTCTGGCCCCCCTGGGAAGAGTTGAAGAGCCTGATGGCTCTGGGGACAAAGGATCTCCTGAATCGGTCGGTTGAGCAGCTCTGTGACAGCAACCTGCCGCTAAGCATGCTCCTCTTGTCCATGATGATGGTGTGCAGTGGGTGGCCATCATCCTCCATAATGGAGAGCAGTTTGTGCAATGTCCTTCTCTTGGCCACCTTGACCACAGAGTCCAGTTCCACACCGACCACTGACCCCGCTTGCCTGGCCAGCTTGTCCAGTCGCATCTCGTCTCTCTTTTTCATGCTTTCTCCCCAGCACACCACAGCATAAAAAAGACAGCTGGCAACCGCAGTCTGATAGAACATCTGCAGGAGCTTCCTACAGATGTTAAAGGACCTCAGCCACCTCATTAAATAGAGCCGGCTTAGCCCCTTCCTGTACAGGATGTCTGTGTTGGCTGACCAGTCCAACCTATCATCCAGTTGCAGTCCGAGATACCTGTAGGTCATAACCCTCTCCACTTCACATATCTCAGACTGCAATGGACTAGTTATTTGGAATCACCATTTTATGACGTGGTGAATTTGACTTCTGATTCCAACTAAGTGCTTCTTTTTCTGAGGTTTGCATGTGCTGTGACTATTACTGCTAAGACCAGCATAACCTCAGGACTGTTTCTGTTCTTACTAAAGCTGTGCTGAGAAACCAGGCCAATCGAGTCTTGTTAAATTTCTAAGAAATTGTGGGAAATGTCTTTAAAACTTTATCTTTCAGGGAATTCTAGCACGAAAACTGATACAGTAGTATACAAAAATGTTATCATTTATGACCTAAAATATATTTTTGTCCATTCTGCCCACCTCCCCACACTGATATAGTTTTCTTTTTTCCATTGTAGCGTTTTTTTTCTAACTTCTGTCTCATTGTTTTGTCTATTTCTGACATATTATATACAGAGATAATACAGAATTAACATATAATAATTAATAAAATACACTTGTTGAAGTCTAATGCAAAAATGTTGTCTATATGTACCAGAGAGCCTAGTATCATTCCTTCATGCTAAATGTATGTAAAAAGTCTTACATGCACGTTTTTCTGTATAATAACATCTCTCTCTCTCTCTCTCTCTCTCTCTCTCTCTCTCTCTCTCTCTCTCATAACTTTTTCCTTTTAGCTCAGCTGGTGTGAGAAGTGCTAGCAATGCATGTTTTTCAATGCATGTCTTGATGGGCTTGTCAGAATGAACAAGAACATTTCATCAGAGAGGGAAAGGTAAAGATGTACAACTTGACTTTATTTTAAATTGTTAGAGATATTTGATTTAAAAAAAAAAAACAGGAAACATATGATTATTTTAAACAATTGTAAAATATAATTACATTAAGCCAAGTGTAGTCGATCAGCCAAGAGATTCTTGGTGTCTGAATTTTGTCTCTTTATTTTTGCACTTAAGATGCTAGGATAGTGTAGTTAACAATGTTGTCTATTTTACCTAGACTAGACTGTAGTAGTGTTGTCTTTGACAGGCTTCTATTATATTTTTTTAATTGAATGAATTACATTCAGTACAATTTATAAATAGCAATATTTACAAAAATGAATATTTCTATTTATTACATTTTTACATTTTATATTTATTAATTTGTGTATTTTTTGTGTTATTAGATGCCAACAAGTTAAATCTGAATTAACTGGGGCCTACACAGAAGGTATGTGCATATGTATATACACTTTACTATATATACAGTTTGAATCACGTTTGTCAACGTTCAAATATTGCTTTTTTTTATTTTAAAGAAATAAAATTATTTACCCCCCAAATCACCATACAATCCGAAAAATAAAGGTTCTCAAATGGTTTGTGGCTTGGACGTTTTGTTCTTGAAACTTTAAAAAGATTCTACACATTCACATATCTTGTTTATGAGCAATGCCATCAAAAAAAACACTTCTGGTTGCCTAAAGCAGCTTCAGTGGATGGAAATAAGACATGTGAGTGTGAAGAATGCCAAGATCTATTTCAGATGCTTTATTTTTAAGAGTGTATGGTAATTTTGGGGGTAAATATTACACCAGTCAGATCAGCACACCTTACTTAGCCTTTCATTCTTTGTTAATCTTTTTTTTATAGATGGCTGTGTGGATCTTGCTAAAGCTGCCAGTGTTGTAAAAAGTCGTTCTGGAACTCTGATTCCTCTTGTGAAACCGAAGAGCTATCATATGAGAGTGTGCGGGCAGGACGACACAGTTTACGCTGGAAATGAGGATCAGCTGGAAGCCTGGGAAGATCACTACCTGCCAGAGAGGATGGCGATGGAGGTGATCGGTGCGATTGATGACTTCCCATGTGAGGCATTTGATCGCCAGTTGGTCCTCTTGCTGTGTGAAGATGGAAACATCTACGCCTATGAAGATGAAGTTCTGCACCTCGTAGCCAGAAGTTTAAAGGAGCTGTTTGAAAGTGGGATGACCTTTCCTGGAACAGAGTCCTTCAACCTCGGCGAATGCTTTGAGGATTATGTAAGTCTATATATTTTCCTACAAAGTGGTGAGGAGCTGCTCTGCTCCTGCAGTGAGAATAAATCTCTGCTACCTAGACCAGTGGTTCTCAACCCTGGTCCTGGACCACCCCCTGTCGTACATACTTTATTGTTTTCTGTGCTCCAACACCCTAATCCAGTCATCAGTTAACTAACAGGCCATCTTGAGTTGAAGTAGGTATGCTTGAGCGGTGGAAACACTAAAATGTGAAGGAGGAAGGAGGTTCTTCAGGACTAGGGTTGGGAACCACTGCTCTCGACTCTTAAACTGACCTGTTGTGTTTCCCAGACGGAAGAAGAATACAACGAAATGATGGAATGTGACGAAATTAAGGAAATGAGAGAGGAGCACAAGAAGTTCAGAGAGTCTTTGGAGCTTGAGCTGCTGGAGTCCCTACATGAGCTTAAAAATAGACAGGTATTTTTTTTGAATGTGTAAGTACTATCAGGGAGAGAGTTTTACATCATTTCAGTTGTTCAATGCATTCTGTTTTTCTTTCTTAAACTGATTTTTCAGACAGAAAAGGAATTAGAGGAAGAGGCAGTATGGTCCAGGAAAACTTCAGACAACTTTACCATCACCATACAAGACTGCTGGGACCTTGTTCCTCGGCCACCCATGCCAGTTGTTCGTTGGACAAAATCTGACCCATCATCAATCTACTCACGCTCACACACATGTCACAATCATAGCCATTATAACTGTAAGGTGGCATGTACAGGTTCCTAAATGGTTTAGCATCCCACATACTTTATACAGTATGGGCTATACAGGTCTATACTGCCAGGCACTTCTGCACTTATTGCAATATTTCAGCAAAAAATCAAAGGCTCTGTTTGGATTGGATTAAAATCGCCATTGTAAGATGTAAATTTTTAATGTAATTGCAAAATCATACTTTTTTTGTTAACAGGAGGTCCACTTGCTTCCTTTGTTGATTAGTCAATACATGATTGTATCTTTTCACATTACTACAATGACAATGTGTATATTACATAATACATATGGGTGATTGCTGGGTTCTTTCTCTTACTTGACTACCTTCCTTTGTATGTTGATTGTAGTTCACTTTTACTTAAAGTAAACTTCTGTGCACAGACAACATATTGCAATTATAAAAATGCACACATCACATTAAGGGGGAAAAATGCATCCTTATTCCTAAAATGGATTTTTAATTAGGTCCCCAATTGACTTGAACAGATCCTGCATTCTTAACCTGATCTGAAGAGTGTGGAGTCGCACACTGCACAAGCTTCAGCCCACAAAGGACCATTTCACATGGTAAAGGTTGGTGATATTTACATATCATCTGCACTGTGAGACTGTGTTCAGCCATCATTTCAACACATTGATTAAAGACGTCCTTATTGTGCTGTTCCTTTACACCGCCTCAGCTGATGGAAACCGGTGCATCTCAGAACTGTGCAGGATCACGGTTCTCTCAGCCAGTGGACAGTGCCATGGTCTGGCTGAAAAAACTGCAGTCCAGTCACCGAAACGTCTCACAACATTGAGCGAAAGTAAAAGTTATAGCTAGATTAATATCCATCAAAGATCTTTGCTGCAGTAAGTGAGGCACTGTTCTGCAAAAAGTCATTTTTTAAGTGTAGATGTAAAAAGGTAATGTAGACATTTAAAGAACTACCTTCTGCAGAACAGTGCTTTACTAACTGCAGCATAGTAAAGATCTAGTTATGTTATCTAGCTGTAACTCTTACTTTGTTGCTGCAGTGAGGTAGGCACTCTTCAGTGAAAAGCAGTTTTTAATGTAAATGTAAATAGTTCTGCACAGAAAAGTGAAATAAAAGCACTGTTTTCAAGCAGAATTTGATGTATTCATCTGCAGTTGATTGTTTGAGGAAAAACAACTCTCTGGAGAAATTATAAACTGCTTAGATCATTTGAATTTAAATCTTGTACTACTGATCTATCCCACCAGCAGCCATGATGTAGGCCTGGAGTCTCCAGTGGTAGGTTATTTGTGTGAATGAGGCGACCCATGTTCCATCTGAGCCATTCCATGAAATGAGTCCACATCATTACCTGACATATGTAAGAGACAAAAATCTACTAATAAAAGTTTTTTAAGATTGAATATATTCATTCAAAGTTTTTCAGTGAGTGTATGTAAAATGTTTATTGTAAAATAAAAAGCAATTTGTGTGTGTATGTACACAGTACAGTGCACAATTCTTAGCCACCTATATGTGTGTGTGTGTGTATGTATATATATATATATATATATATATATATATATACACATACATTAATATATACACATATATATATATATAAATTATATATGTGCACATATATATATATATATATACACAGTATGTTACAGTAAAAAAAAAAGAATGTCATATTTTGAAAAGCCATAGTTGATATTTTGAGTTAGTTTGCAATGTTTAGTTCCAGAATGTCTCCTGAACTTATGCAGCCATCACATAGATTTGTTAAATTTCAACACCAGCACACTTAATTTAACATCATAAAGCACTGATTAACAAAACTAGGTGATGAATAATAACTACAAAAAATACTGGGCTGGAAAGGTTTGGAAATGGTTAAACAGAAACACAGAGACATACATAAAATCACTACTTATTGCATTAATGCAATGATTTCTTAAACATTTGCCATGCTCAAACGTACCTATTTCCACATTAACACAACATATATTGATTGAATGTAAAAACTTTAATTTGAAGATAAATATAATAATTTATCTGTGACCGTGAGTTTTACTTTCCATCCTGCTATAACAACTTATTTAATGATAAAAATGAATGTAATCATGTATGTCTTTAGGGTAGCTAAATTCAAAGGCTGGTAAATTTTGTTGTTAATATTGATAGTTTGTTGTTTTCCTAACCAGCTGTGTTTATGTCCACGCTGTCACTCAAAATGGAGTAAAACAGATTTTTTAGTTAAATGTCCATTGGTAATTAAGTTTTCATTGTAAAATAAAAAATACCTGTATTAGTAGGTCTAATGTTGATAACAAGCCGTGTCCACCCTGTCATATTCTCCTCTGTCACAGGTTCAGTGTGATGGGCTTGTACTTCTTGTTATTTGGCACAAAATATAAATATGCTTCCTGAGGTGGGATATCTGTAAGAGCAGAATGTAACTGAAACTACTAATGATAAAAAAGTGTGAGTTCTTTACCTGAAAACAGAAATTCAAATTAGCACATCCATTTGACACTGATTTCGTGGAATGACTCATCTGTTTGAGTAACCACAAGTCCTCGGAAATGGCGTCTATGTTGCAGTCCCCATTGGCTCAAGGTTACCATGTGCCCATGAAGTACAGCAACAAGATTGTTATAGATCCTGCATGATTTATGAAAACACCAAAAGGCTGTTCAAACCTAAGGCTATTTGCCTAATGTTTGCTTCAACCTATACGCATATAAATTTCATAATTGACAAAGATAGGCATACACCTATAATACAGAACAGAACTGGTATAGAAATCCACTCCTTGGAGGAAATGATCTTTCTAACACTTTTAATACTGTGTTAAAATTGTTATAGGCAAACTAAAATAGTAGATTTGTGTAGCAGTCTTAATTGTGAGATATAAAATCATTATTGCAAAGAAAAAAATCAGACTTTCAAGACAAAGTTTCAGCTGGAAGAAATATACAAATCAGTATCTGCTCCAAACAGAAAACATTAGATAGGAAAAACCTATAACCAAACAAAAGTGTTCTGAAGCAGTCAAAAATATTTAAATATAAAATATTTAGGATATCCTGCCTGAATTTCCAGAGCTCTCCTCCAGAAAGTTCAGTATTTACAGTTACGATCCAGTACCTGCTCCAGCTAAACAAACCTTCATTTAATTAAATCAGATTAATTCATACAGTGGCTGATGTGCAGCTCCTCTAACTATATTTTTCTTACCAAGATATTTAGATACTAAAACATTCTCTTTACTTTTGACTGCTTTTATGTTTCTTTACATTTGTTGTAAATTTGTACGGTATTTTTACTGGTAAAACACACTTACTGCCAAACAGATAAAAATACCATCAACCATTTACATATTACTGCAAGCTGATGACTCATGAATGATTTTCGCTTCTTGGAAAGTGAAACCTAAAGGTGCACTTAGGTGCGGTGTGGCAATTTTTTAAGGGGCGGAGAGCCAGATATCATGACTGTAGAGATCAATGGACTGTCTACATTCTGTTCTCCATTATTGTGAGGACTAAAAGATTCCTTTGTTGTCATTTGGAAATACAAGTTCATTGTTAAGTGTCTTCATTCAGGACATACATGTTCTAAGTTTTCTGCACAATTATCAGCTGTAGAGATCGACTGAATGATGTCTTTTTTTTCAGCAAATCAGCAAATGCAAAATAACAACGACAGAAGGAGGTGAGTCAAAGATTTGTGTCATATATGATTCTTACTACATACATTATGAAATGTGTCCTAAATGAATAACTCTAACTTGATTTGCTAATGTTATGTTATTTTTCAGGACTATTATCTGAATGTAATATTTGATATAGTTGTCATGTAGCATTTAATGTAACTATAACGAAAAGTCATACCTCCAGTATGCAAAAAGACCTTTTTAACATTGGGATTATTGATACTGTTGCCTAAACATGCTCCAGGAGATACAGTTCAGTTAAAAAAAATATTTTTACAAAGATTGTTGGTTCTCTTTTCTATCATGGGATGGTTGGAAGAGTGCAATCTATCTAATCTTGCTTCATTTTTCAGGAAACCCCCCAAAAAATACAGTGTAAATCGGGAAAATAACAGAGAAAGCTTGAAAACATGTGGTTTGTTGCTCATCCAGAAAATGATGATGAGAATTGCAAGAGAAGGACAAGGAAACAAGAAACTCTGTATGTACATGGACGAGGTAAGAGAGACATTCATTATTCAAGTATTATCGAGGAACAATTCATGTAGAGATACTGATAGAATGCACCTGTGAGGAAGTATAAAATGAACAGTTCATTTTAAAATACTCAAAGATAGGTGATTTAGTGCTACTTGGCAACCACAATCTCTAGTTGTTTAACAATGAAACTCAGGGGAACTCTGTACTTGTGTGAATTTGCAGCAGAGCAGACATTAGACAATAAACTCCAGAATTGAGTAAAAGCTGTGTAATCCATAACTGCAAGGATATAATGTTTTTACTAAATGTTTTATTTCTATGTGGATTAGATGCTTCACAGCATTTTCTTCCTGGGACACATCTATGAACACCGTTTGACTCCCAGAGAATTTTTCAGTCTTCCCAAAGTCCTTGAAACTGTGAGCAGCAGTTTTTCTGAGCCATTTAAGAAGTACAGCAGTCACCTGCCAACTCGCACACCCTTTTCCATTCTGCTGGACATGGTGAGTGCCATCTTGAAAAAATCATAAAAAAGAATGTAAATTTATGAAATGTAAGCATTGTAATGTAAGCTTGATTTTGTACCATTTGTGGCAATATTTGCAGTTTTTTTAAATAATTTATTTCATGAAATGATCGTGACCCTGTAACTTGTTTTGAATGTTGCCTAGTTAGTTCCTGTTTACACAATTGAGATCTTAACACATCATAAACATTGGGATGCTGTGCAGAATGTAATTAAAAATAGGATGCAAAGATATGCAAATCATGTAAACCATATTTTTGAAGGAAAATATTACAAAGACAATATATCAAATGCTGAAACTGAGAAATTGTTTTTTTTGAAAAATATATGCCCATATTGAATTTGATGCCAACAGCACATTCCAAAAAAGTTGGGACGGGGGCATGTTTACCACTGTGTTTCATCACCTCTTCTTTTAACAACGCTCTGTAAGTGTTTGGGAACTGAGGAGACACTGCTGTAGTTTTGAAAGTGAAATGTTTTCCCAATCCTGTTTGATATAGGATTTCAGCTGCTCATCAGTTTGGTGGCTCATTTGCAGTATTTTATATTTCATAACCCTCCAAATGTTTTCAATGGGTGACAGGTCTGGACTGCAGGCAGGCCAGTTTAACACTTGGACTCTTTTAATATGAAGCAATGCTGCTAATACATGCAGAATGCTGTTTGACATTGTCTTGCTGAAATAAGCAAGGCTTTCCCTGAAAAAGACGTTGTCTGGATGACAGCATGTGTTGCCAAAACATGTATATATCGTCCAGCATTAATGGTGCCTTCACAGATGTGTATGTCACCTATGCCATATGCACTAATGTACCCCTATACCATCATGAATATTGGCTACTGAACTGTGCACTGATAACAAGCTGAGTGGTCTTTAGCCTGGAGGACACAGTGTCCATGATTTCCAAAAATATAGTTATAGTTTTTCGGTGGTCCGTTAAAATCACATTTTTACAGCCATTTTTAAATGTTAAGGTTTTAGTGAACCAACAGAGCTAGTGGATTGGCTTGGGTTCAACTAGCTTCATCGCTCTTGGGCATTTAGTTTTCTCTAAAACATAACTGTCTTTCTTGAATAGTGTGCTTCCAGTGTGCTGTAAATTAAATTAAGGTAGATTCACGTTTAAATTAAAGGTTGATTCATGTTTCCCTGAGCCCCTGTCCCCAAGTACAGGTCTGCTTTTTAATACGCTTAATGAATACTTTGTTTGTTTTTTCTTAGATGGAGATACTGTATTCCACTAAAAGACTCAAAGAGGAACTTCTGCATCTGCTAAAGGAGATGAAATTCCCAAACCCTCTTCACAAACCAGGCAGTAAACAAGAGCAGTATTACACATTAGAGTCAACAGTAATCTGTGAGTGTTCAGACTCAGACTCACAGAAATATTATGGAGCGTCTCTTTGCTGCAGGAAAGGAGCTGCAAAAGAAATTCTGATTGATCTGTCATGTCTTCAACTTTGGCACAAGTATGTCTCTCACGCTGTCATGTCGTTTTCTTCTGGAGGTGGTGATGGTATAACATTCCCTGGGTCACTGAGATGCCAAGCATATGTAAGAGATCGGAAGAGAAATGTTTATGAAGAGAAACAGCCATGTTCAAATTGTGGACGAATGTTTAATCTACAAGATGCCAACCCAGATAAAGTAGAGTATCCCTTTGGTAACTGTGCTGAGACAGAGTGTCTGAGCAAACTGCTTATTAATAATCAATACATGCGTGAAAATGCAGTGATTAACAATCACACAGAGGAAAAATTAGAGGAACTCAGAAGTTCAACAGAGGCACGTTTGATAAAGCAGCTTGTCAAGGTTGGCATTGAAGTTAGCGATAATAACTTACTCTTTTATGATCCATTCCAAATGCAAACAGGAGATTGACCTAAGTGTTTATCTTCTGTTTTAGTGTTTCCAATTTCAATACATCTAATATTACATGGAAAAAGCAGTCCTGGTAAATGCCATCCACCAACGTAAATTGATAAATAACTGCATCATCAGTACTGACCGAAACAGTGTGATCATGCAGTAATCTGCTCTTCATGTTTATAACACCTGAATGCCTCAGTATTGTTCTATTTCTTGCACTACACTGTAAAAAATGGCTCCTCAGATCAACCTAAAAAAAATGACTTCATGTAGTAACAAGCAATTGAACTACTTTTATTCAACTCAAAAAATAGTTAATTTACTGGTTACCACAAGAAGTAATTTTTTTAAGGTTGATCTGATGAGCAGTTTTTACAGTGTACTCTTAAGCACATGCATTGTTCAGCATAGTTTCATAAACTGCTAGTGTATTTTTAAATAGACAGGACCCCTCCGTGGATAACTCAGAAGAAAAACTCAGCCAGTTTGGATCACATTCCATGTAGTTCCCGAACAATAAGCCTTAGTATGTAATAAGCGTGGGATTTTAAGGGGTTAACCATGTATGTTGTTTTTTCAAGATGTTGCTTAAAATACATCGTTTCAGTTTGTACCATAAATATACTGTAACTGGAGAATTGGTACTAGCAATGTAGTTCTAGTCCAGCCTAGACTTTCATTTGTAACAGGTCACTGTTGAACTAAAAGTACACAGACTAGATAGTATTTCTAAAATCTGGCCACTATATCAGTCAGCACATGCTTTTATTGTCTTTGGACAGAGAGAGAAAAACAAACAAACAAACAAACAAAAAAAAAAAACACGCACAGAAGTAAAATAAAATTATATTTTCCTTTAAAATGTTTCCTTTGGGTCTGTCAATGACTTACAAAATGATTGCAGACTTTTGATTTGATTCATGTACATTTTGGTTCTCAAAGTTTTTACAGTCTGGTAATCTCTCAGAGCCCTCACACCCCTCTTGCTCCTTATACATACATACACTCATAATTTTGCCATGATGCATAGACTTCTAAAAATCAACCCATCTTAATATATATTTTATTTTTTCAATGTTTATGATGTGATGACAACACACCAGATATACACTCTCAGAAAAAAAGATACTAAACTGTAACTGGGGTGGTACATCATTTAAGGTGCACAATTGAGCCTTGAGGGACCATGAGGGTATTTTTACATTGTACCTTGTTGTGTACTTATACAGTAGCCTACCTTTTGCTGACAGTGTACAACATTTGTTAATGTTTACCTTAAAATGAATAACACTTAAAAAATTAATAATGTTGGGGGTGTCTCTATATTACTGCATTCTAGGTTTAAGTAAGTCTGGAGTTTCTGTCAGAGCTCAGAGGGGCAGAGGACTGAACCTTCTTCATTTGTAATCATGAAGACTGCAGCATTAATATGAGGGCAATTATGTGTGTATGAGAGAGTCTGTGGCTATAAAACAAACAGTGAGGAACAAAATGTTCACTAACATGAGCTACAAACTACATCACACTATCACAGTAACATCCGCTGCTCAGAATTTAACATGTCAACAGCCAAGCACTGTTCACTGAGGCTTCAAACAAGCTTCAACTCACTAAAACCACAAACCGCATCAGCAAAAGTTTAACTAAGCACACGACTAACAAGCTTCATACAGACCTTAACAACAGTTATCAAAGTATATTCACTTCATTCACGCGCAAACAATAAACTGAATTAACTCCTTTGTTGGTGGTAAAGCTGTTAGAGCTTGAGTGCTGTTTCTGTCCTTTGTGTAAGGGAAGTACTACTAATTACTATGTAATTATGTGGCTGTCTGATTAAATGAAATAAAATGTCCAAAAATGAAATTAATGTCTAAATTTCTGATGTACCCCCACAGTCATTCAAAGTACCCCTGGGGGTACAGGCACCACAGTTTAGGAACCACTGCACTACACTAAACTGTGGCATTATATTAAATAAGTGAACAGTCTATATTGCTAATGAGGTTTGTTGTCGCTTAAATTACATACATGCATGGTTCAGGTTGGTTGCATGAAATATTTATTTCTTTTTAAGATTAATTTCTTATTTAACTATGTGTGTTGTTTTTCAAGTTGTTGCTTAAATTAGGCACATGCATCCTTTCAGTTTATACCATAAATATGCTGTAAAAGAACTGCTAGCAACCGAATATTACTGTAGCCTTGACGGCCATTTGTAACAGGTCAGTTTTGTACTGAAAGTAGACTGACTAGACAGTATTTCTGAAATCTGGCCAATATATCGTGGCATATGCTGTTATTTTGTTTATACAAGGTCAAGCAAACACGCAAGTAAATAATATTGTATTGTCCATTTAAAAATTTAATTTGGGTCTGTGAATAACTGCACACTAGTGACTTGATTAGTGTGTAATTTCAAGGAAACAATACAGACATTTCAGATTAATGTATAAAGATAAGATGGAGTTAGTTGGGAGTGCCTGGATGCCTGCCCCTTTTGCACCAAGCTTTTGTTTGACAACTTAAAAACAACTGGCCTGGTCCACTTGATAGATCAGTTGTCGAGTCCACATAATCATCAAAGCCTGGACTGGACGTAACATAGAGTGATGCAGCTTTTACTAATCAGTTATTGATGCATCCAGTTTCTGCCGCAGGTGTCCTTGCTGCCAAGGACCTCCCTGCCATCTTCCCTTGCCTATAAGGCACTGCACTGGTCCCCCACGCTGAACCTTGCCGATGGTGGGCCCATATGGTCCCCCCCACATTTCCTTTTTGGGCTGAGCCCAGCTGGATTATGTGGGCTGCCTGGCCACCAGGGGCTCACCAAGGAACACTACCCCCAGGCTTGGTTCCAGAAGTAGGTAACCCTTTCTGGGCGGGGTACACAACATATTGTGTCCCTCGACTTAGCTCTGAAGATCCCTAGACCACACAAGTCCTTCTGCCACAACAAGACCCCGATCCAGGAAGGAAGAGGGATTGTAAGATCGGCTGCAGGCTGTGACAGGTGATGGCAGTAATGTGCTCGTTGTACCAGACTGTAGTGGTGAAGAGAGTTGAGCCAAAAGGCATGAGCTGTGGGTAATGACTGAAAGAATGGGATCGTGGATACAAGTGGCGGAAATGAGTTTTTGTCGCAGGGTGGCGGGCTACACTCTACTTGATAGGGTGAGGAGGTTTACGAGGCACGGCTGACTAGGATGAGACCCCGAGGTCGCCCTAAGACCCGCTGGAGGGATTAGATTTCCAAGTTAGCCTGGGAGTAGAGGTCTGCGTGGGACTGTTTTTTCAGTCCCGCAAGAAAGTCTATTTGTATATTTCTGGGTCACTGCTGTGCTGACCACTTATCATGGGCACCGAAATGAAAAACAAGACTTTCCGCGTCGCTCATGTCACACAGACGCAGTATGTGTGAATTAGGTCTATGAGAATTTGTGTGTTGTTGACGTGATCTGTTGCTCGAGAATGACTTTATTCATTTTAACTGTTACTGTTATATTGTTTACATATACGATTTAGTGATCGTTCTACTTCATTTATTCATTAATTTTAGGGATTTTTCTATATGCGTGCTTCCGCCCGCTCCCGTCTGAAAGGATCTGATTTCTGCCCGCTCCCGCAAACAACGCTGAAAATTAGTCCCGCGCTGCAGGATATTGTGCATACCTCTACCTGGGAACAGCTCAGGATTCCCCAGTATGAGCTACCCAGATAGCAGACAGTTCTACGCCGATTCTGGCTTACATCCGCGAGTGTTGGTTGACTTCCGGATAGATATTAGGCATGTGGGCCACAACTGGGCCAGATGCTGGACAGCTGTATATGGTTTTGACTCATATTTACGTTTAAGGGCCAGTTCTGGCGTGATTGTTGTGGCCCAACGATGTGGTTGAAGGAAAAGGGCCACAGCACAATTAAGCTGTGGCAGATTTGTGCTCAGTTGATTTACACATCAGTACTTTTGGCCCAAGTCTGGTATGTCATAAATGGCCCACCCAGATAGCAGACAGTTCTGGGCCGATTCTGGTTCACATACGCAAGCGTCAGTTGACTTCCGGCTAGATATTAGGCATGTGGGCCAGAATCGGGCCAGATGCTGGACAGCTGTGTATGGTTTTAACTCTACGTTTATGGGCCAATTCTGGCATGAATGTTGTGACCTGACAGTGTGGATGAAGGAAGAGGGCCACACGTTAATGCTGTGGCTGATCAGTGCTTGGTTTATTTACACCTCAGTTTTTGTGGCCTGAGTCTGGCATGTCATAAGTGGCTCAGTACTGAAGTTATAGAAAACAGCTGTTTAAGGGTTAAAACCTTAATTTAAAATGGACAAGCCAGCAGCCAGGTTTGAAGAGACGACAAATGGAAGAGGGCATTAAGAAGGTAAGTAATATGTTTTAAAAAGCACATTTACATACATTAACATGATTTTTAATATGTAGGTTTAATTCAGTGATATTAACTATTTCAAGTTATAAGGTTCCAGTATGGAAAATGAAAAGTTATAACTAAGTTGTAGCTAACAATACCATTATGGAAAAGCATAAAAAAGCACAGGCTTGAAGCAGCACAGGCTAGCTAGGTTAATGAAATGGCTGTCAGCTCAAGGTTTAGTTACTTCACCCTTATATTGTATTAACTTATTCCTTTTAAATGCTAAGGGTAGTTAGTTAACGTTATCTCTAACCTCGCTAACCCGAGCTAATGTGCTAGCTCCGAGCTAAAATGCTAACCGCGAGCTAACGTTAGCATACCATGGGCATTTAAAAGGATACTTATTCCGCGGTTAGCATGTTAGCTCGGAGCTAGCGCGTTAGCTCGGGCCCATAGGGCGTTTGCTCTGGGCTAGCGCGTTGTCTTGTGACAGCAGTAGCATGTCCACACATATGCACACACATCACTCTTCTGTGTAAGTCAGTAAAACTAGAAAACAGTTTAAAACAGCTGCTGTGGTTGTTAAACTGAGGCGATATTTCCTCATTCATATGAGTGTTCATTGTCAGGAGTGCTTCACATTAGTTCTACCTGTAAGTAATTAATGTTTGTTAGAACAAAAATGTTCATGTTGTTACAGATCTTGCAGTTGTGGAATTTCTGCCTCATTATTCAGTTTCTTAAGTAAAACCCATCTAATTCCAGATAAGCTGTCACTGGAGTTCTGTGACTGCTTACAGTGGAACAGCTACCAATCTGGCAGTGCACATTCAGTCTGCAGAGGGATCTACTGGAAATGCTGATTGTGGTGTTACTCCAGATTGTCAGGTAAAGGGGTTTGTCATACAGTTTAACAACAAACTAGTTAATTATAGCTGAGTGCTTTTCCTCTTTCTAAACATAATTTGGAAAAACAAATTACTGCAAATTTGTGTTATCACTATAGCTTATGTAATTAACAAAAACATACTATTATTATTATATTACTTACAGTAAGCCATTGCTTCTAATTTTTTGGTAAAAAAATATAGCTTGTTTTAACTTGTGTATTCACTAGCCATTGTATGAGGTTCAGTTTTGTGTGTTGCTTTTGTGCATTAATAATTTTTCTAACTTGAAAATGTTTATCATTGTGATGCTCAATAAACAATCTGACCACATTCTAAATGTTTTTGCTTTTTGTTTTGTTTAAGGGATTCTGCACCAGTGAAAATGGATGTATGCAAAACAAAGCATTATGATCATAATATACCCACGTAAACTCATGATGGAAACAGTTAAAAGTTTCTGCATAACTTCTTAGGTTACTACCACCATTGCACATCCCAGAAAGGGGCCATGTTTAACATAGTATAGGATAAAATCATTAGCGAAACAGCAGTTTATCCAGTTTTGTATTTTTTTACTGTGAAAAAAAATCTTCTAGTAGTCATACTAATTATTGCATACAGATTCAGAAAATGTTTATCAAGTTAAATTGCAAAACCTTATACACAATTGGCTTGACCTTATGTATGCACATATTTTATAAAGGCACACTGAATGGGTTGACACCTGTACTTCAGGGACATACACAACTGTTTTTACTCCACAGACAGCTTAAGTATAATTTTTCAGACAATTTTGTCATAATACGTCTGATGTCTGAAAAATTACATTCTAAACTGACTTGATCAGTGCTTCAAAGAAGATGTCAAATTTAGCCTGTATTTCAGTAGCCTCTCCACTTGGCTCAAGAATTTTTCATCCTCCATGGTTAACAGTTCGTGTAGAAATATTGTGAAAAATGTATTTATGAATGTGGAAAATATAGTGCTCTTGGACTCAAGGCAGATGGTCTGCAGAATGGCCAGCTGCATATATCCTTGAAGATGTACACACAAAGACTGCAGACAATGACGAATCACAAAGATGAAGACATTTTTCCTTCATTCATTTACTGTTTTTATTTATTTAACCAAAATCGACATGGAGTTTTCATTCTGAAATGGCTTTTGACAGCTATTGATTATTAAGAAGAAATATTACCAATATTTGGCATGTTCTGCAATAAATGTGTGTGGAATCCTGCAGGGCCGCATCTGGCTGGGGACCAAGGTGGGTACTCCTTCATAACTGTGTGCCATTTATGAGCCAGATCTGGCCCACACCCTGTAAATATGCTCACTTTACAGTGTGTGGGCCAGATCTGGACCACAGCAGTTAAACTTGCACACTTTACAGTATATGGGCCAGAGCTTGGCCAGCTCCCTTAGTTCTACTCACAGTATAGTACGCGGGCCAGATTTGGGCCACATCTGTTAGTTCTACTTATCTTACAGTATATGGGCCAGAGCTGGGCCACATCCATTAGTTGTACTCATTTTATAGTCTGTTGGCCTCATCTGGGCCACATCCATTAGTTCTTTATGTTTTACAGTATATGG